TCCAAACGTGGTGTTTCAATTAATTGTTTTCGTAAATATTATGGGGGCACGGGTGTCCCAGTTGTGTGGGTCTCCGCAATTAGCTGTGTCGACTTGCGTCACTTGGGCACACCAGAAACATACAATTGTGAGTTCGAGTGCCGGTTCTCGCCGAGTATGTTTCTAGCTGGCCAGGCATCACTTCGGGCTTTCCTCCCACTTTAAGCTGACACGCCGTGATATAACTGACATACTTTCATAACGGCGTAAACCCTACTCACTCACTTACCAACATTATTTAGAATATATGAATAAGATGAATATTTTGTATTGAACATTAACTAATAACTGGATTGAAATCAACTCAAAAACCAAACAAGCCCAAAGGGCTAGTATAAAAATGAAATATATTTATCTGATTATATTTAATGACTACTCACTTCATTGTATTTATATCCTCATGTTCTAAGAGAGGGACCATCAGACATGGAGATTATTAAAATTATGACATACAATGTGTTTCCATTCAACTTATCCCGCGTGTTACCTGAGTGTATCAAATATTAGCTTATTCCTGAGGGAGGTGATATGAATCGAAATTATACTTTTCATTATTTATTGCAGGGTCTTCTTTATCTAGTGAAGTGGGCGGACTACCCCCTAGAAGACGCAACCTGGGAGCCCTCCTGCCACATCCCTGCCCATCTCCTGGAGGACTACAACTGCCCTCCCGTGTCCGATGAGCGCCTGAGGCTCGCTTCAGCTACTGTTGAGAGGTTACTGAAGACAGCAGTCAAGTCGCCAGGTGGCCAACTATCTGCACACATAGAGCTTGACGTGTACAGACACGCATTTGGTCACCTGCCCAGCTATGACAAGGGGATCCTTCTTGAAAAGAAGGATTTCAGTAAACTGTCTCTGTCTACACACTGGTGGTATACCCTCAACCAACATGGCGAGGGTCATCAGATTAACTTTCCCGTGAGAGTTTCACCGAAGTTGTCGATGAAGAAGATGTGGACGGCGACTGGAGGAGTTTTGACAATGCGGAATGTACCGGTGGAGAAGCTTGTTATGTTTGTCACCAGTAAAGTGTGCAGTTTGAGGACACTGGACTCCTAGTAACAAACACTTAGCATGACCTATCTTTGGCTCATATTCTGGATATTAAATGTGTGTTTGACTAGGTACACGGATATAGCCATGGCAAACAGCAAAGAAGTTAGGGGTACTTCTTTGAGTAGTAGAATTAAGATATCATTTTTCAGTGCGTCACCAACTCCTAAATCAGGCGAAAAATGTCTCTTTTTAGAAATTTCCCATAAATGTTTGCGAGAAATAGACAGTTACTCAACCGCACATCCGGATTCAACTTTCGTGGACATTCTAAATGCAAATCTAAATGTAATACAATTACAACAATCCGTCAGAATAGAAAAACGCATACGCGTAACAATTTCAAAAGTAAACTCAAAATTCAAAAGGCTTACTGGTGTGAAAAAGCAGGCATACGTAAAGCAGTCTTACAAATTAGGGTTATTAGAGAATGAAGTTGTAAATGCTAGGCAAATGAGCGAGACTGTTGTGGAGCCTGCTGAAACGCCACCTCAAACACCACTCAGTCAGAGTAGACAGTTTGACGAAATGAGCAAACGCCAGGCCTACAGAACCCTGAACAATGTTCAGGCATCTACATTAAAGGCATTAGATGTCGTTAGAACACTTGGACTTACACCAACAAGTCTCAAACTAAAGTCATCAAAGGGGGAAAAAATTACTATAAATTATGATCAGGAGGAATCAGTAGATGGGGAAAGAGAAAATTTGTCGCAGATCTTGTTTGTACTTGATAAATTTGGGGTAAGTGACTCAACTTATCATGAAATTGCCCAGATCAACAAAGACCTGCCCAGAGTCGGGGCAGTTGCAGAATATAGAGCTAAACTGTCACGCGAGTTCAAAATACATAGAGTACCAGGCAATGTCCCAGGAGCAGTGATGAGTTTTAAGAAAGAGCTAGAATCTCGCGTTGGGGAGTACTTAGAGTCTAGGCCAAATGTGGAAAAAGTTAGAATAAAGTTTGGTGGGGATGGGACAAGAGTTAGTAGCCTCTCAAATTTCGTTGTTTTCTCATTCAATATCATAGATGATGCAATCAAACAATCATCAGTAAATCAATATACGTTAGCAATTATCAGCTGCAAAGAGAACTACAGCAACCTTAGAATGTCTCTGGTCCCGTTGTTCGAAGAAGTCAACTCCATCGTTAAGGACAAGTTCATCCAAATTGGGGACAGATGTGTAGAGGTGGATATTTTCTTTGGGTCTGATATGAAAATGATTCAGTTAGTTTTAGGCTTAGGGGGTTCGACGGGAAATTATGCGTGTCCACTGTGTAAAGTACACAAAGACGACCGACACAACATGACGCATGACTGGATGTATTTCTCTACCGACCCTATGTGCAGGACAATTGACGAGATAAGATCTCACTCAGATAAGCTTCAGTTCGGCGTTCAACACACACCACTGTTTGAAATTGCTATAGACAACTTTGTCCTTGACGAGCTACATCTGTTGATGAGAATCACAGACGTTCTGGAAAGACTAATCATTCAGGATGGGGTAGCAAGGGATAAAGAGTTAGCAAAATTAAGGCAAGGGAAACCTAAATATTTGGATGGGATAGTAGAAAGCATCAGAAGTTGTGGGGTGTCGTTTTATGTATGGGAGGATAGGGACAGCAAGGGTCTACAGTGGACCAGCCTTTCAGGGGACAACAAGAAAAAAGTTCTCAATCAACTGCCTGACAAACTTCACGGTCGACTAACTCCAGACACGGAGACAGACTTAATCAACGTTTGGACAGGGTTCAGGGACATTTTCAAGTTCGTAGTTGGCGGGGAAAGAAGTGACGCACGACAGTTGCACGACATGGCTAGGGAGTGGATACAGTTACTTCTTAGAGTAGGGGAGAAAAGGAGGGGCTGCTTGAAAAAGAACATCACTCCCTACATGCACTGCTTAGTGTACCATGTTCCCGTTTTCATGTCGAGGCACGGGAATATTGGCAAATTTAGTGGACAGGCCCTTGAAAAAATAAATGACGATATCAAAAGGATTCACCAGCAGAAAACACAAAAGTGGGACGGTCCCATTGAGACTATGACTGTCAGAAAGCGTGTTGAAAGTCAGTCACACTTGGCTAGGACAAAACGACCTTACACAAAACGTAAGCTTGAGTACTGGGAATCTGAGCTACAAGAGGCCAGAAGCGCAAAGAGGGCCAATATACAAAATGACATCAGCAGCGTTGCTCCCAGTACTCAGTCACATTTAGATGACATGTGTGTGGCTGACTTGCGAGACAAACTTGTCTCACTTGGAGTACACACTAAAGTGTCTTCCAGGGAAAAACTAATTGACCTGATCCATTCAGCAATGCATATTTAATCTGCCCGTCAGGAAACTGACAAATGTATAATCATAACTAATGATATCTAACCAACATTTGTTTTCAAGTTCAAAGATGTGTGAAAAACTTGTCCAGACTAAAATGTATTGTGTATAATGCAATGACCTGTGATAATGATTTGTGATTGTTTAAATAATGTGGTAAATAAACTTCTTGGAATACTATATTTACTTTGTATATATCATGTCCCCTCGTTATCCCATGAAATAACATGTGGCTTAGACTACTTGCCAACCTCTGCCTGGGTGTTCCTGTACATGACCGGATGCACCGGCTTAATTGCCTACCCCCACTGAGCGTCCTCGCCAGTGGATACTGACCTATACATATATTTGTGCCCCGAGTAAAGGGATGTAACTCTACATAACTTTAAACGTCCTGTTATTATGGTTAATAAAAGTTAAAAGTTAACTGTGAAGGTGTTTATTTACACCTCTGATAATTTGCATATACATAGAGAAAAGGTTGATTGTTATGATATCGGTTGAAACGTTTACGTTTCTACATTAATTAACTGTTAATCGATCACTGAAGTTCGGTGTTTTTACAGAAATTGGAGAATTACACATACACGTAGAAGCATCGAGTAACATATTTCAAACGTAGTTTTAAATGTTTCCCAAATGTTTTAAACATTTGAAAATTATTTCACTATGAAGACATGTAATCCAATCATTTAAGTCCAGTGGAAACTTTATTGAATATTTCAACCTTACTAACGTACAGAACTTTGAAACTACGCGTCCTCTTTATCTATCACCATTTTACGGTTGAGTGATTTCAACGTGGGGTGATACTCATGGCACAGATTCTTGGGTATGCAACACCCGTTGATAAAAGTGGCAAAAATCTTCGGCAAGCCTCGGAATTTTCCCACTTTTATCAACTCGTGTTGATATATTTGATATCAAAAGACACGAGGGTGAGATTCTCTATTTATCATTATTCGATATTTGATTGGTTTACATAATCACTGCCTTTTCATGAAACAAATGATTACCGCTGTTGAAAATTGTAATGCTTTCGGAATTCAGAAAAGTGATTAGTTTAATGATAAACAGAGTCGATTTCAATGTTTTAACAATAACAATTCAAAAAGACATTTAACTGAAAAATTGGACAAAACTGCGTCAATATTAACTGACATATATTAACTTCTTTGGACTTTGAAAACAATAACATCTATCGTGTGGACCGAAACAAATATATTTAATGTGTTGGCCTACTATGTAGACTATTTGCCCAACTGTCCCGCATTCACGTGTTGTTTTGGATGATGTCACCACATAAACCCGTTTATCCAGAATTACTACTGCAACATTGCCACGCTGGTTTATTGAGGCCCACGCACCTGCTTTGGTTTTCACAGTTTCGCACAAACTAAAGTCAGTGTTTATATCTAATATCAACTTTGACAAACTATAAATAGTATTTTCGGTATGCTGTGTAGTTTATAGCTTTAGGGACACTATTAGTAACGAGAAGTCAAAATACGCGTAACATACGAAACCAAACTAAAAAAGCTGGTCTATTTATAGTTGTGACAGGTGAGTATCCGACTTCCGTGCTTGTTTCTCCTAAAAGTCAAATAAATGTGCCATCTTTTACATCGCCAGTGTATGCTACTAAGTCTAATGTCATCACCGTAATTCATCATCAGCAGTAGGTGACAATTACGTGCTTTTTATCCTCGATCGCATTCAAATCCCTGCCACAAGCAAAGCTCAACCGGAGTCCCAGATTTCGCGAGTCCCAATGTCGTACTCGATTTTCCCACGACTTGTCGACCGACAACAATAACAACGATAGCCCCCACGTCATTTTTATGTAAATCTTGTGCATTTGTTTTGTATTATGCAGACTGACAAGTTCGTTCTTTTTCAGAATGATTCACAGACTGCAAACGTGGACTTGATTTTCAAGAAACACATTTTTGGACGTTTTGATTGAGACAGTATTTCCTGATTTCATGTGCCTATATAACCGAAGCTTACATCAAGCATGGCGAGCGCAATGAACTCTTCAGCTCAGGATGAGCATTATGATTACATTTGGAAAGGTAATTGATTAAGTTTTTGAAGTGATACAATATATTAGTATGTAGTCAATCTGGACTTTTGAAATATTTCAGTATAACCATGACAACAGTTACTAAGCATGTTAAATTATATGTGTTCTTAGTGTTATTTACCAATGATTGATCTACTGTATTTTTGTACAAATGTTACAATAGGTGGTCACTTAGATATGATACCATTGGCCTACTATTGACAGGCAATTTTAAATGTTATTTAAGAATTGACTTCAGTATTTTTTGTGCATATCAGTTTTTACTTTTGTAATTTGATGTAAAAAACATATTGAAGTCAATATATAACTACGTGTACGTAAAAAGTAATAACTTGCAGTTCTGTTATAATGTGCTGTTGTTCTGTTGCCATTTGTTGCAGCAGTTCTCTTGCTATTTGTTGTGGTTCTGTTGCAGCAGTTCTGTTGCCATGTGTTCCAGTTGTTCTGTTGCTATGTGCTACAAGGGGCGGTCGGGTTGCCTAGTGGTTAAAGCGTTCGCCTTGTACGCCAAAGAGCCGGGTTCGATTCCCGACATGGGTACAATGTGTGAAGCCCATTTGTGGTGTCCCTCGCCGCGATATTGCGGGAATATTGCTAAAAGCGGCGTAAAACCATCCTCACACACTCGCTATGTGCTGCAGTTGTGTTGCAGATGTTCTGTTCCCATGTGTTGCAGTTCTGTTGCTATGTGTTGCAGCTCTGTTGCCATGTGTTGCAGCGGTTCTGTTGCTTTTTGCTGCAGTTCCGTTGCTATGCGCTGCAGTTTTGTTGCTATGTGTTGCAGTTTTGTTGCAGTTGTTCTGTTGCTATGTCCTGTGGTTGTGTTGCAGCGGTACTGTTGCCATTAGCTGCAGTTGTTCTGCAGTTCTGTTGCAGTTGCTCTTTTGCAGTTGCTCTTTTGCAGTTGTTCTGTTGTCATGTGCTGCAGCAGTTCTGTTACAGCAGTTCTGTTGCCATGTGCTGCAGTTATGTTGCTATGTGCTGCAGCTTTTATGTTGCCATGTGCTGCAGTTCTGTTGCTATGTGTTGCAGTTGTTCTGTTGCCATGTGCTGCAGTTCTGTTGCCTTATGTTGCTGTTCTGTTGCCATGTGCTGCAGTTCTGTTGCCATGTGTTGCAGTTGTTCTGTTGCCATGTGCTGCAGTTCTGTTGCCATGTGCTGCAGTTCTGTTGCAATGTGTTGCAGTTGCTCTGTTGCTATGTGCTGCAGTTCTGTTGTCATGTGCTGCAGTTATGTTGCCATGTGTTGGAGCTGTTCTGTTGCCATGTGTTGCAGTTGTTCTGTTGCCATTTACTGCAGTTCTGTTGCCATGTGTTGCAGTTGTTCTGTTGCCATTTACTGCAGTTCTGTTGCAATGTGTTGCAGTTGCTCTGTTGCTATGTGCCGCAGTTCTGTTGTCATGTGCTGCAGTTCTGTTGCCATGTGTTGCAGTTGTTCTGTTGCCATGTGCTGCAGTTCTGTTGCCATGTGCTGCAGTTCTGTTGCCATGTGTTGCAGCGGTTCTGTTGCCATGTGCTGCAGTTCTGTTGCAATGTGTTGCAGTTGCTCTGTTGCTATGTGCTGCAGTTCTCTTGTCATGTGCTGCAGTTATGTTGCCATGTGTTGCAGCTGTTCTGTTGCCATGTGTTGCAGTTGTTCTGTTGCCATTTACTGCAGGTCTGTTGCAGTTCTGTTGCCATGTGTTGCAGTTGTTCTGTTGTCATGTGCTGCAGTTCTGTTGCTATGTGTTGCAGTTCTGTTTCCATGTGCTGCAGTTGTTCTGTTGCTATGTGCTGCAAGGGTCTGTCAGGTAGCCTAGTGGTTAAAGCGTTCGCCTTGTACGCCAAAGACCCGGGTTCGATTCCCGACATGGGTACAATGTGTGAAGCCCATTTGTGGTGTCCCTCGCCGCGATATTGCGGGAATATTGCTAAAAGTGGCTTAAAACCATCCTCACACACTCGCTATGTGCTGCAGTTGTGTTGCAGTTGTTCTGCAGTTGTTCTGTTGCCATGTGTTGCAGCAGTTCTGTTGCTATGTGTTGCAGCTCTGTTGCCATGTGTTGCAGCGGTTCTGTTGCTATTTGCTGCAGTTCCGTTGCTATGCGTTGCAGTTTTGTTGCTATGTGTTTCAGTTTTGTTGCAGTTGTTCTGTTGTTTTGTCCTATGGTTGTGTTGCAGCAGTACTGTTGCCATTAGCTGCAGTTGTTCTGCAGTTCTGTTGCAGTTGCTCTTTTGCAGTTGTTCTGTTGTCATGTGCTGCAGCAGTTCTGTTACAGCAGTTCTGTTGCCATGTGCTGCAGTTCTGTTGCTATGTGCTGCAGCTGTTCTGTTGCCATGTGCTGCAGTTCTGTTGCTATGTGTTGCAGTTGTTCTGTTGCCATGTGCTGCAGTTCTGTTGCCTTATGTTGCAGTTCTGTTGCCATGTGCTGTAGTTCTGTTGCCATGTGTTGCAGTTGTTCTGTTGCCATGTGCTGCAGTTCTGTTGTCATGTGCTGCAGTTCTGTTGCCATGTGTTGCAGTTGTTCTGTTGCCATTTACTGCAGTTCTGTTGCAGTTCTGTTGCCATGTGTTGCAGTTGTTCTGTTGTCATGTGCTGCAGTTCTGTTGTCATGTGCTGCAGTTCTGTTGCTATGTGCTGCAGTTCTGTTGCTATGTGTTGCAGTTCTGTTTCCATGTGCTGCAGTTGTTCTGTTGCTATGTGCTGCAAGGGTCTATCAGGTAGCCTAGTGGTTAAAGCGTTCGCCAAAGACCCGGGTTCAATTCCCGACATGGGTACAATGTGTTAAGCCCATTTGTGGTGTCCCCCGTCGTGATATTGCTGGAATATTGCTAAAATCGGTGTAAAACCATCCTCACACACTCACTATGTGCTGCAGTTCTGTTGCAGTTGTTCTGTTGCCATGTGTTGCAGTTCTGTTGCCATGTGCTGCAGTTCTGTTGCAATGTGTTGCAGTTGCTCTGTTGCTATGTGCTGCAGTTCTGTTGCCATGTGCTGCAGTTCTGTTGCCATGTGCTGCAGTTATGTTGCCATGTGTTGCAGCTGTTCTGTTGCCATGGGCTGCAGTTCTGTTGCCATGTGTTGCAGCTGTTCTGTTGCCATGTGCTGCAGTTCTGTTGCCATATGTTGCAGTTCTGTTGCTATGTGCTGCAGTTCTGTTGCCATGTACTGCAGTTCTGTTGCCATGTGTTGCAGTTGTTCTGTTGCTATATGCTGCAGTTCTGTTGCCATGTGTTGCAGCTGCTCTGTTGCAGTTGTTGTGTTGCCATGTGCTGCAGTTCTGTTGCCATGTGTTGCAGTTGTTCTGTTGCTATGTGCTGTAAGGGGCGGTCGGATAGCCTAGTGGTTAAAGCGTTCGCCAAAGACCCGGGTTCGATTCCCGACATGGGTACAATATGTGAAGCCAATTTGTGGTGTCCCCCTTCGTGATATTGCTGGAATATTGCTAAAATGGGCATAAAACCATCCTCACACACTCGCTATGTGCTGCAATTGTGTTGCAGTTGTTCTGTTGCCATGTGTTGCAGCGGTTCTGTTGCTATTTGCTGCAGTTTTGTTGCTCTGTGTTGCAGTTCTGTTGCCATGTGTTGCAGTTGTTTGCAGTTCTGTTGCCATGGGTTGCAGTTGTTCTGTAGTTCTGTTGCAGTTGTTCTGTAGTTCTGTTGCAGTTGTTCTGTTGCCATGTGCTGCGGTTCTGTTACAGCAGTTCTGTTGCCATGTGTTGCAGCGGTTCTGTTGCCATGTGCTGCAGTTATGTTGTCATGTGTTGCAGTTGCTCTCTTGCTATGTGCTGCAGTTCTGTTGCTATGTGTTGCAGCCGATCTGTTGTCATGTGCTGCATTTCTGTTTCCATTTGTTGCAGTTGTTGTGTTGTCATGTGTTGCAGTTGTTCTGTTGCCATGGTTACAGCTGTTCTGTTGCAGCTCCGTTGCAGTTGTTCTGTTGTCATGTTTTGCAGTTGTTCTGGTGGGAGACAGTGGAGTGGGGAAGACGAACCTACTGTCCCGGTTCACGAGGAACGAGTTCAACGCGGAGAGCAAGAGTACAATAGGAGTGGAGTTTGCCACGAGGTACGTACCTCACTGGGGACAAGACAATGCTGCAATATAAATAGTTTTTATACCCAAGAAATAACTGTTCGCTGGACGTGCTTGATGATGTCGTGAAAAAAACCATCTTATTAAAATCAGATCTTAATTCTCGTTACTGTTCAGCAAAGATCTGAAGACATCCCATTGCAGGTCACATCAGAACGACCTTTCATCCGACCAATCCGAGTGTCGCTTACTAGATCGAGAAATTGACAGTTGGAATGTGTTTTGTAATCATGCAACCTCAGAGGTCAACAGGGTGTATTCCGAACGACAGTTATGAACTTACGACTTACTCTGTGGAAATCATCTTCTGTCTCTTGCTTCTATTGGATAAACAACTGAACAGAAGATACTTTACATAGCCCATGGGAAGTACTGCCATACAGTCTGGGCCATCTATTAGAGCATTAGAACATTTCAGAATGTTCCTTTGGTCAGTTTCAAATTTTGAATTGAGATCTGTGTATAGCCTGATAAAGCTGCTTTCTGATTTGCTAATGTTGACATCATGCTAGTCATTTCATTGGTCAGTGAAATTTCGTGAAAGGTCATTCTGACATGAATTGTAATAGGATGTCCTCAGATCTTTGTTTTGCACTAAGACATGATTTGTGTGAGATCGTGAAAAAAAATGTTTTAAGAACATTCGCCTCCTTCTTTCAGCAGTGTTCAGAGTTAAGAGATCTCCCTTACCAAATACCAAGAGACTACCATTCAAAAAGTCTTCACAAATCAATGAAAACATTTGCAAAATCTCAAAGTATTCTACCCAGAAATCTGAGGCAGAACAAGCCATAGTAGACTTTAGGGCAGGCTTGGACCTCTAAAAGGTTTACTTGTGCTAAACTCATAGCAACATTTTAGTGCAATTTTTAGTTTTGCTATGTGACTGTTCACTGTAGTGTAGACCATGCTGAGATTAGGTCCATGATAAGTTTCTAAAACTTGAAATACATCATACACACAAATACATGTCACAGTTTTAGATTCTGTGGGAAAGTATCTATAATATGATGCCATTAACAACTATTTTAGCCAAAGCATATGTATCACAAACAACATCTGAAAATAGTGTACAACGAAAAATATGCCATTTTCGCATTTTACCAATTCACTGTTCTAAATGTGATTATTTATTCAAATAATGTAAAACTACATGAGAAGTTCCATTACAAAACCATTGGGTGTCGGCTCTTTGTCAAAACACCAATCATCATTCCGAAAAGACTCCAATAACCCTATATTCGTTTTCGAAATATAAAAACTCTGGACCGAACCTCCATGTTGGATAGCGTTGCAAAATCACGGTTCTTTTTGCATCAGGCGAGATGCCTGTCACATCACATGTATTTCACACTCAGCTACCATACATACATCTCTGAATTCATCATACCATTAAGAATCAATTGACATTTTGTCTAAGTCACTAATACAAAAGGTCCAAATGAAATCAACCGCAATATTCAAGTGTGAAACCAAACCCTGTGCTCTGAAACCTACCAGTGGGCCTTCTCATTTAAAAATGTAAACAAAGCAACCTTCTAGTTTTACTAATACTTTACTATTCCAGTAAAATAGTAAATTTGTCAATTTGTTGCATACATTAGCTCAGTTTATTACGAATATGCATGGGTTGATAATCGTTGCAAGAATTGAGAAATTAATAATTAGAGTCCAGATACTTATTTGGAAAAAGTCAACAGAAATCGTTCAACGTGCCGCCATGATTGACGCAAAATCACGCACACTGACGACGGTATTGGTCTGCCTTTCCATGTATTATCAAGGCAGGAATGGAAACATAAAAACAAACAGAACTTGTTGATTTCAGATTAATTCTGATTACTTAACTTACATGACTCATTTATGTATGTATGTGATCCCAGCATCACGGTAAAACCTACTCCAAACATTCCGCGTACTGCTATCAGTGAACTCGCTACGTTATGACGGGAGGTTACCGGTAGTGATGTCATATTAGTATACGTCTGCATCAACATCGTTGTACATATTTGTTATTTTCTTTGAGGTGCAGGTGAACTAGTACACAACGCATTCAGTTCATGAAGTAGTTTACTGTTTCAATCTTGAATTATAATTTGAATATCTCTTCAATATCGTTTCACCCAGCAAAATAATGCACTGCTGCAAAATGGATACATGTATGCAGTACTGTTACTAATATAATCTAAAATGCCATAGAATTTATGAAACTCATAATAATCAGCTGTTTGTTTGGTCATAGACATTCATCGTGTTATCCTTCCCAAAAGATGTTTTGTAAATGTAACACACCGATGCATATACATATTTCCTTTGGAGAATTGTGAAATATTCATTGTGGCAAATTTATATAGATAGGTAAAATAAAACAGGCACTTCATTTCTTAAGTTAAAGTAAATGTATACCTGAAGGAAATTCGCCACGTTATATTTTTATTAATGTATAACTCATGTGTGGACAACTACTTGTCTTACATTTGGATTTTAACGTTTAATTGGCGGAACATTGACAGCTGAAGATTGCATCAGGTGCGCGTTTCAAAATAGGGGCTGACCATTTGAGAATCATGGTTGGAGGTGGGTCATGGTCTGTTGGGGTTTGGGTGTGCGTTGCTGGGGTGGTGGAGGGGTTGTGGAGCTGTTGTAGTGATAAGCACAACATTCTGTTCTTTTAATCGAAATTTTCCATACTATAACCAAATATAATTGGTAATATACTGTTACTTTTTTGTGTTACCAATTTCAACGTTTCTTATAAATTTGGAAATAAGGTAAAAGTATCTGATTTCAACTGGCCAAAGGGCACTTTGAGGATTTTTATAGTTCATTCTTCTATATTATAACAAAATCTGAAATATGTCTTCAGGACATTTTGGATGACAATCATTCAATGTCCCAGAAAAGGAACCGATGTGGTTATTAAAATCGATAGCTGTGTGGGAACTTTGTAAATACACATAAACAAAAAGATACTAGAATGTATTGTCCTGAGACAAAGCAGATGCTCACCACGGACATGACGGTTACTGAGTTTTGCAATGACTAGGAATTGCATTTTTTTTGGTCTTTGCACATGTGGGCATCGCCCTCGTGTTTTGACGTCATGTAACGGAAAATTTGTTTTCGACACATAAAACAAGTACGTTTTCGTATCGAATGTGTCACGTTATACATTTAATTTTCCATCATGGGGTTAAAAATTCAATAATATACAAGTCCGTTAAATTGCAAAGTCAGAGGTTGGTCAAGTACCGCGCGACCGCAATTCTCGCACAGCGTTGATTTTTCAAAGCAATGCGTCTGAACATTAACTCGGCAGCCAAGATTCCAGCGATAATGTAGTAAATCACAAGCTTTTTGTCAGAGATCTCGCGAGACCAAAGTTGTATGCAACTCACCGCCGTGTGAATGCCGAGTTGTATACAACTTCAGTTTGTGCAACTAATTGCATACAACAAATTGTATACCACTAGTTGTACCGTGTGAATGCCCCTTTAGCTTAGCATGTTTCTAAACAGTGCTAAATGTTACATTGACTTGATTATTATTATTATCATAACCATGATAATGTTTTAAAACAATGTATACAATGGCACATACAAGTAAGCAAAAATGATCTCAAGTATTCGCCTGAAAAAATCTTGGGGAACATATGGTACAAGTCAAAATAGGGAATTGCATCAGACATCATTTTTGTCACAAATTTGGAAATGTCCTCAATATGTCTAGGTTACACACAGCCAAATGTTTTCCCATAGACTTCTATAGTAACGTTATTTTTTTTTAAAAATAACTAAGCATTCAACAGCTATTACCTGTACGTGTGTGCACAGTTTGGCCTTAGAGCAGCAATAAAAAAATATAAAATGACTAGCTTAGCCAGCTCCTTTTCCGAGTACAGGAAGCTAAACACACCACCCCCAGTTTCGCACCAAATGTCACCTACTTGAAAATAGCAGTGGTCACATTCAGCATAAGTCATCATGTTGAAAAAGACAGTACTAAATAAAGAAAAACATGGTCAGTTTTAATAACTGGATGGATGTACATTTGAAAGACATAAAAATCTTACAGAATATCCTCCAATCACAGCCTGCAGATATCTCTCGATCTGCACTGAAGGCTCCCTACGAAAACCGCACTGTCCAAACTGGTTCTGATTTGGTGTAGTAGAACCTCTACCATCATCTTCCCGAGGCAAGAGAGTTAACTGACTATAAAAGTCAAGTTTCCACCCTTGCCGAACAAGGCTGGCATTATGGAGTTACATTTTGGCTGGACTAACGAGTCTATGCATAGTCCAATCAAAATCTTGCACCGAAATTGAAATCAAGGTGCACCACCAACTCGTTGTCAGCAGATATTTTCCAAATCTTCTCATGTTTTTAATCAAGGTGCCCACGTGATTTGATGCATTTTGCGATGTAAGACCCGTTTTATCGCAATATAGATCTTGATTATCGATCAGATTGTCCTGACCGGGCGCAACCGTTTTCTGTGAAGCAAACGCAAGTGATACGAGAGGTGGAATCTGATTGGTCCTTGGGAGAGGCTTAGAAGGGACATAACTGGTAATAGCCACTGGTGGCGCTATGATCGAGCCCAGGAACTTTTAAAGTCAGTTAACTCTCTTGCCTTGGGAACATGGTCTACCATAGAACTGAGTCAGATTTAGAAATGTCCTCCACATGACTACATGTCACATGTTTCGAAAGCTTGACAAAGGCCTGGATGTTGTAACCCTGATCAAACAGCAGGAACCAATGAGCCGTGACACAAGGGGATTTACCGCTGGACTCTCAACTGTGTACAGCGTGTCGTGTCTGGTTACACAAGGTGATTTACTGCTGGACTCTCAACTGTGTACAGCGTGTCGTGTCTGGTTACACAAGGTGATTTACCGCTGGACTCTCAACTGTGTACAGCGTGTCGTGTCTGGTTACACAAGGTGATTTACTGCTGGACTCTCAACT